TTATTTGTGTATGTCGATTAGTAGTTTTGATGAACTACTACCCAGGTTGGAGAACAGAATAAAACATGAAGACATGTTTCGTGCTGCTATCTACGTGTCAATTAATCGACTCATCTCGATTGTACTCACGGAGCACGGGCGGAGCGCGCATCGCTATGGAACGATGAATGAGCAGCGGTGCGCTCGCGTCTGCATGTACGGGGGTCCGGGTGTGGGACGCGGGTGGTGTTGTACGGGCTCTACGCGGAGCGACTCCCGTACGGAACATTCGCGTCGCTGTGAAACGATTTTACAGCGCCTCACGTCTGTCTCCGCTCCGGGAGCCCGTACGGAACTCCCGTACAGCTGTGAAACCAGCCTAAGAATGTCGCTAAGTGACTGAACAAGCAATGTAAATGTCATAATCGATACTTTATTTATGCGGATGCATCGTGTGACGAGTTAGCGTTGCTGCTCCACTAACATAGGCTATCTATAGTTAAAGGAGTAAGTAATATGGTGCGTGGTAAATGCAGGCTCTGATTGTAGGAATAAGGTTTATAATTGATAGTGTAGTACATTCTGATTTATAAAATGCTAGTGTGAGCGACTCTGTATCTATTTGCTTTTACTGATCTGCATGTGTAGTAGTTGGCGTGTGGTAGGGGCAAACTGGAGACACCAGGTTCCGATACATTTTCAACTACCGGGCATATCTCCTTTTTATATCAGTCAAATCAGAAGATGGGTAGCAGCGTCTTCCTAATAACTGCTAAAAATAAAAAACTGCGGTTCCCAACCCGCTTGCCAAGCGTGTCATCTATGGCAAACATCCCCCCTATGAGCCAATCTATGGAGGAAGCCTATGTTTAGCAGTGGGCTGTAACGGTAAACTTTAATATATATTTATTTTATATAATAAAGCTGTGTAGCGGCGACAGAAAATAAACAAAAAAAAACCACTTACATACTTAGTAGATCCAAGACCCCATACCATCCCATGAGTATCGTAAAAGTAGCTAAGTCGTACGGAATTCTGTTTCGATACTCCGATTCGAGATTCCGAACGAAGCAAGTTTAAATAAAATCTATGACCCGCCACACACGTACGATAGTTTTCCGTTCGAAAGTTTGCGGGGAAAAACGGGGTTCCGTATGTGTGTGGCGGACACGGTCGGAATTCCGAAACGGAAACTCGAAACGGAATTCCGTATGTATGTGGCCGGCCTTACTCGACTTAGCTTCTGTATCCTGATTGGTTGTAGCAAAATGATATCTGACATTTCTTTTTTTAATTTAAAGCAGCTATACCAGGCAAAGGTCGTCCCAATTAATAGCCACTTGAAAAATTAATTTTATTATATTGAGAATAAAACGAGGTAAATACAAATGAAACATTGTTGAAATTTACTATTTTCTTTATTTGTTATTATTATTTACTTTACAATAACTTTGTTTACAAATTTAATAATTAACTTATTAATATATATAGTCTGTCAAGAAAGTCATGAAAAGAATATTTTTGGGACTACTGCTTTTGCTTGCACTGGCAACAATAAATTATTGTCAAACTGAGTAATAAAAAGCATGGCCGCTTGTGGCCCAGCGTAACTCAGTCCGCAGGCAACGGATTAGTAGCTTGGGCGATGACATCACTACTAAATACAAATTACGACGCGGCTCGAGCACAAATTACAAAGATAACAAATAAAAAATACAACAAAAAATTAACAGTTAATAAATGCAGTTCCTATCAAATCGCGTTGAATAGAAATTACACAACTACGAATTACTACGTATCAACCAAATACAAGTTAGTACAAAAGAAAAGACACAAATCAAATTAACAAATAACAAATACTAGTGCGATCAAATCAAGTTAAATTCAAATGGCGCAAATACCAGTTGCTACTCTTTAGTTCAAATACAAATTACAATACAAATAAGATACACATCACGGTCGATCAACAAAAAATTCCTAGCTCGGAAATCGACCCTTCGATAAGTAATCCACTACAACTATCCGACAACGATAATTAACCGATTACGTAAAAATAACCATCTACCTACATGACGTACATCTCTAGAAAAACTCCCGCTTGCGCAACCTAGGGCGCGGCTTTTCAATCTACCAACTAACCAAAAAAAAGGCAAGCAATAAAGCAACAAAGGAAAATAATTTTATTATTACGTACAAAAAACTATTTTTACGTATTACGGACGGGCGTGATTGTAGACACAAAATTAAACCAATCAAACCAACGCTCCCTGCCACCAGAATTGCTTAATTTTTATCAAACACTATGGTCGGGATCGAACCCGGAGCCGCGCTCTGCTACCAGATTGTTTCGGCCTACGGCTGCTCCCCTAAAGATCAAATCCTCAGGGGCCCATTCAGCTGAGTTTCGACGAGCAGACGTAGGTCGGGCCTCCTCCAGGCCAAAGTGGAAAATCTCTAATTACACTAAACTATATGAGGGAGCGTTCTATACTACGGCCAGTCGACCGGGAGGATATTAGACGGAGCTTACTTACATACATCCAAGGCGATTGGTCCCTCCGGAGTCGGTCAGGTCGCATGTGGTTGTGTAGTGCACGGGAAATAAGGTGATGTGATGTGTATCTGGGTGTGACTGATGGTGATTGACCCTAGACCTTGGCCGTCGGCAGCAGCCCGGGCGTCGACACTGCTCCAAATTGAGGGAACCTTCCGCGGCGTTGTCCACAGGCACTTTCCTCGTTCGTCACGATGACAGTCCATTAACTCTATCGTACGATTAACTAACTTACAGAAGCCACTAACTCTCGTTTGTTATAAGGTTAACGCACAAAAAAAAACACGGAGTGTCCGGATCAAAGGTCACTACCGTTTCGCGTAGCAACAGTTATTTCTAGAATATCAAAGGCCGCACTAGCTAATATTGTCGAATGCACTTATACAGATTCTGAGTCGGACCCAATAAGTCCCTGGGAAGCTCTGCAGCAAGGAATACGCGTCACAAATCCTAAACAGAATATTTACTATCCGCGCCTAATTATTCCGAGTTCCCTAACAAAATTGACAGTGTGCTAACGTTAGCAGCGCTGACAGACGACTGACTTGCACTCGCGCGCGCTAGATACATCCAACTGTCAAACAGCGTTTGGCGCGAACAAACCCCCGTCCCGGACATAAGGATTTAGGTCCGCGAGCAAACCGGTCAGCGGGACAAGGTCGCGACGGCAAGTTGCAAGACCGAATATACAACCAAACTAGGTCACCTTAGGCACCCCATTAGATCTTGCAACCCTAACCAACGCCTTAAAATTACCGCCCCAACGTGGGCAAGCCGGAGGGTTGAACTGGATGCCCTTCCTGGAGATCGCAGCCCATAAATAAGTCCTATTCTGGACAGAAGTCCGACGACCTCTTTCAAACACCTATCTGTGCCCCTACGATTAGTTCCGCAATCCGACCAGATCAGGTCTGTAAACAGCGACGCCACACGAAGCGGCCCAGAGCGGCCTCCTAAGCTTCAGTGCAGAGAGCACCCACAAATTCCACATGAACGTCGTCTGTGGAGAGCCGAACGAAACGCACAGATAGTCCCTAGTATGAATTTTCAACAAGGAGGCCTAGCCAGGCCACTCACCATATTATCATTTACTAAAATAGTGCGGCAGCTGATTTCAATCTGATAATCTCCAAAACTAGCTAGCCTGTTAGACAAGCAGTCCTATGCTCATATTTCAACTAATTTTTCAAAGCATCAATGTTCAACTACAGAATCAATTCAACCAAATTAATCACCGATGCACATAGGTCAACTTGACAAATTAAACAAAACAATAACGTAAGAGACAGCCCTTTTTCTCATTTACGTAACTTAGACAGTGCCAACAAAATGTAAACCAAAGGAGAATTGACTTTTATTTACCTCGGCACAAATAGGGTTATTTAATTTCAGCCTTCTTTTTCACAAAGCAAAATGATTAAACACTATCACAAAACATATACATAATTTTCCAAATAGCGCGACATTCAATTTCAAATGAATTCAAATTTTCTTTTCAGCAACCAGGCGCAACAATCAAATGCAGTGATTAAATATATTTACAAAACATATGCAGCAGCATTTAAAGGAGTAGATTAAATTCATTTCTTTTAATTACAACCGCTACAAATAGGAAAATTTCGCGGAAAGCCCAAAGCATTTTTTAATTTTAATTCAAAGAAGTTTTAACTAAGTGCTCGACCAAACCAAATCTAATACCCCTTGACAGCGTGATTCAACGCTCCAAGGGGGCCCTAATCTTCCCACCACCAAAGGGAGGCCACACACATACGGAATCCCGTTTTGCCCGCAAACTTTCGAACGGAAAACTATCGTACGTGTGTGGCGGGTCATATATTTTATATGAACTTGCTGCGTTCGGAATCTCGAATCGGAATATCGAAACGGAATCCCGAAACAGAATTCCGTATGTAAGAGGCGGGCCTTAGTTTAGTTCGTGAGATATCCGTCTCCGTTAGATTCGGGTATCGGGTAGAACTTAGTCTACTAGTTAGTCTGTGGCATAGATAATACACTAGTCTGTGGGGAGTTTTGGCGGGAAATTGACCGGCGGCGGTTTGCTGCTCCTGTATTATTGTTTAAATAATGGTTTGAAGTGGACTTTGATATGTAAAAGTGTTGCGATTTTGTGTATTAAGTGTCTACGCATGTGAACTATTAGTGGAAACAGTGAAACAAGTGCTCTGATGGTGATGGATTCTCAAGATAAACTGTTTGTTTGCATAGGCACCTTTAGATACCATCGCCAACTATCAGCTGTCTGCTGGATCAAGTTGCCGCCAAAATCTCCCAAGAACTTCACAATGTGACGCATCAACATATTGTGAAGCAGTATACTATGAAGGAGTGGGGAAATTACAATAAACCGAATAAAAATACTTAAGACTTGGCCTAAAGGTCTAGATACCAGGCCATAAACTCCAAAAAAAAAAAACACTAGTCTGTGGTCTGTGATCTATGTTTACTGTTTAACTGTTTATGTTTATATCACAATTATGAAGAAAATACTAATTACTAGCGCAGTTTAGTTATTTAGAATTAAAGATTACTGAAAGAGGTAAAATAACTGAACGGACTGTATGTAGTTACTTAACATCCAAATACCTTTGGTAATTAATTACTTTTACATTCGCTTTGAGCATTAATGACAAGCGAAGGCGAACTAGGTGGATACGCACCAGCGACACATTTTTGATTTGTAGCTATGGCTGATGGAGTGCAAATTCTTAGACGTAATCGTCCCGGCTCTAAAGCTAAGGTGATTTTAATGTGTCTTCATTTATATCTTACTACCAATACATTTTTATTCGTAATACAGAAGTAATATTATAGGATTTTTGTCGCTGGCCCGATGAACCGTTTGAAGAAATGGACAGTACATTGGCTGTGCAACAATTCATTCAACAAACTATTCGACGTGATCCTGCAAATTTAGAAGCTATCCTTAAAATGCCTGAGGCTCAAGATGAAGGTGTCTGGAAATACGAACATTTAAGGTATTTAATTATTATTGTAGTACACACTTAACTTCAGTTTATAATTCAGTGGCATACTAACCATTGGTGAAAATTTGAAGAAAATGATATAGAATTATTTGATATTATTTAAACTGTCAGATGTGGTGGGAATGCCTTATTTTTTACTATGTTGTGATATTTTGATGTTTCAATCCCAATGAAGTAAATGTACTAACTTACAGACAGTTTTGTATGGAACTCAATGGACTTGCAGTAAGATTACAAAGTGAGTGTAAGCCAGAAACATGTACACAGATGACTGCAACAGAACAATGGATATTTCTTTGTGCTGCTCACAAGACCCCAAAGGAATGTCCTGCTATTGATTATACGAGACACACTCTTGATGGTGCTGCTTGCCTACTGAACAGTAATAAATACTTTCCAAGCAGGTTAGTAACAAGATTTATATATATTCATAGTTATTAAAAAAAATTGGTGGGTGTATAATTTAATATACTGGGAAATATACCATTTCTCCTAATACCAACCTAAACTGCATACAGTGCACCCACCCTGCCAATTGAATTATTAAGTTCTGCAGTGTTACGTGGGACATAGCACTAAGACTGGTGGGTATTGGCTATGCGCTCACTAATACATACATAACATAAACACTCACGCCTGTCACCCAGAGGGGTAGGCAGAGATTATGGACTTCCATTTGGCACGATCCTGACACACCTCTCTCGCTTCCTCCACATCCATATACCTTCGCATACACGCTCGTCGGTTAAAGGTACTCTACCGGCGACGAGGTTTGCCACCCGTCAAGTTCTGTCCCCCCGAGGGGCGAAAAGTGGATTGCGGAAGCCCGTCTGGCTACATTGAATGTATGTGGAGGAATGAATGATAAGATGGATGAAGTATGCGATATGATGTATGATAGAGGAATAGACGTGTTATGTGTGAATGAGACGAAACGGAAGGGAAAGGATGCCACTACACATGGCATGTATACCGCGTACTGGTCTGGTGTAGACGAGACCGAGCGGGCATGCCAGGGAGTCGGTATCATCCTTTCAGAAAGAATGGGTCATTGTGTAAAAGAGTATGAATGTGTAAGCCCGAGACTGCTATGGATACGAATGAAAGTAGGCTTAAAGAAGTTGTTTGTTTTAGGGATCTACGCCCCAGACATGTCTAAGCCCACTTATATCCGAGAGCAGTTTTGGGAGTTGGTAAGGATGGTGCTAATGAAATGCAAGGTTAATGAAAATATTGTGATATTAGGCGATTTAAGAAGGGTTGGGGTGAGGAGGCTTGGTTATGAAAGGATATTGGGAACGTTTGGTGATGAAAGTATAAATGAGAATGGTGAAAGCCTTCTCGCCGTATGCGTGGAAAAGAATCTTGTTGTGACGAACACTTTCTTTCATCATAAGAAGATTCACACGTATACATGGGAAAGAGGTGATGATAGAAGTATGATAGATTTCATAATTGTTGATCAAAGAATGAGGAGCGCGGTGGTAGATACAAGGGTTTACCGGGGCTCTAACGTAGGGACGGATCATTACTTGGTCTTATGCCGAATTAATGGTCTTTTCAGACGTTGGAGGCATCGGACATCTGTGTCTACCACAGCGTTACAGCGTATAAGAACAGAGAGGTTACAAGATGAAGGTGTGAAAGAGAAGTTCAAATGTAGATTGAGAGAAAATATAAGTGGTATGGCTGAATTGTGTATAAATGATTTAGACTTGGAGGCTGTGTGGTATAATGTCAAGAAAGGTTTAGTGGATGCAGCTACCGAAGTATGTGGTGTAAGTAAGAGAACGAATGAAAGGAAAAATAACACGTTATGGTGGGATGATGAGGTACGGATGGAAGTTGAAGCAAAGAAGAAAGCATGGCTAGATTTACTAGCAACCAAGGCTAGTAATTCTAGCAGTATGAATGATGATATTGAAAGGAAAAAGGCAGTTTTTAGACACCTAAATAAGAGAGTAAAAGAAGTAGTTGAAAGGAAAAAGCAAGAAAGAACGGATAAGAATGATAGAAGAATATCGGATAACTTCCAGGCAAACATTAAAATGTTCTGGAAACTCGTAAGAACTACCAGGGGACATTCACAACAGCCTAGAATGAATGCTATACGAGACCAGAATGGCTGTATTCTAAATGACGAAGTTTTGAAATTAAGGAGATGGAAGGAATACTTTGAAAGCGTGTTTATGAGTGATGAGACGCTTGAATTAAATGAAATAGAAATTCCGAAAGAAGAGGAAATAGATAGAGATATAAGTATAGATGAAATAATGAAAGCAATGAAAAGTATGAAAGCAGGTAAGGCAGCCGGTTATGATAGAGTATCTCTCGAAATGCTAAGGGCTGGAGAAGGAGTGGTGGCAGACCTGCTGTACACCTTGTTTAATTTATGTTGGGAACTTAAGCGGGTACTGGGAGACTGGTGCAAAGCCGTGATAGTCCCAATATATAAGGGAAAAGGATCACAGTAGGACTGTAAAAACTACCGTGGTATCAGCCTTTTTAGCATTGTGGGAAAACTGTATGCTAAGGTACTAATTGAAAGAGTTATGAAAGAAACTGACGGAAAAATTTGGGATGTGCAAGCGGGATTTAGAAAGGGAATGGGATGTACGGATCAGGTCTTTTCCATGCGCATGACCGCCGAGAAGTTTTTGGCCAAAAACCAAAAAGTTTTTTGTGCGTTCATGGACTTGGAGAAGGCTTATGACAGAGTGGACAGGGATGTGTTATGGCAAACACTGAACTCATTTGGGTTGAGCGCTGGTCTGATACAGGCATTGAAGTCTCTATATAGGGACTCTAGTGCTTGTGTCAGGATCAACGGGGCCTACTCGGACTGGTTTGACATCCATAAAGGTGTCAGACAGGGCTGTGTGGCTTCCCTGTGGTTGTTCAACCTATTTATGGACAGTTGTTTGGAAAATTTGAAAGTAGAAGAATGCGGGTTAAGAATGGGTGAGTTGACCGTCAAATGCCTTTTGTACGCCGATGATAAAGTCATACTTGCGTCGTCGGCAGCCGAGTTGCAAATGATGGTTACATTAATGAACAGGACATTAAAAGAAAAGGGAATGAAAGTGAACGCAAGTAAGACGAAAGTTATGGTTTTTGAAAGAGAAGAAAGTAAAACGATATGTGAAATAAGAATAGAAGGGGAGTTGGTAGAGCAAGTAGATGAGTTTGTATATTTGGGATGTGTGTTTAGCAGGGATGGTAGATATGATAAGGATATAGAACGACGAGTGAATGCAGGAAATAGAGTGAATGGGGCTCTACACTCTATTGTGAAAAGTCAGAATGTGTCCAAAAAGGCACGTATGGCAATTCACAATGCTGTGTTAGTACCTACTTTAATGTATGGTAGTGAAAGTTGGGTGTGGCAGAAGAAGCATGAGAGTAGAATAAATGCTGTAGAAATGCGGTCATTAAGGAGTATGTTAGGGATGAAGCTGAATGACAGAGTGAGAAATTGTTTAATAAGAGAAGAGTGTGGTTTGCAAGATGATATTGTGACCAGGATTAAGAAAGGAATGCTTCGGTGGTTTGGCCATGTAGAAAGAATGAATGAGGAAAGAGTGACAAAGCAAATTTATGTTGCAGAGGTGAACGGCATAGTCGGGAAGGGTCGCCCTAGGCGAAAGTTTATCGACCAAATTGGCGATATATTAAAAATGGGCCAAATCAAGAGCGCTCACTAATCTGTCTGTCTAGTGTGTTATGTAGTGATAAATCTCCAAGAAATGAATACCGGTACGACTTTCCATTGACGTCAGTGGAGTTTGGTGATGATACGTATTTTTACAGAAAGATTACACTATTATAAGCACACACACAAAGTCTCAATATACGGAAACGCGTAATTTTTGAGAAAAGAATAATTGAAAATATATTATTCTTGCAATGTTTATGTCTAATCTGCTAATAAATTGGCGCCATTTTGTAATGTCATTGTCGACGTCAATAGGGATGTCGATTCTTTCCGAAAAAGATCGATTTTTTAAATAGATTCGAATTGTAAGCTAATGTATCGATTCTCAAAAAAACGATTTCTAAAATATCGATATTTTTTTCATATTTGCATTTATAATGCAAATATAAATCCATTTTATGAGAAAAAATCCCCTTCATCATAAAAAAATAAGGGGACTGATTCATAAGGATTTCTGTATCTATTTTGAGACTGCTACGTCTCCGGCGCTGCGGGAAGAGCAACCTCTACGCCTTAGCGTAACAAATCGTAGGCATCGGACGAGCCGGAGCGGCTGAGGCTCCGGCTCGTCGCTTCGGCTTGTTGGGCGACCAACAAGCCGAAGCTGCGGAGGCGAGGAAAAAAAATATAAATATTTTAGAAATCGATTTTTTGTGAACCGATACATCAGCTTACGATTTGAATCGATTTAAAAATCGACCTTTTTCGGAAAGAATCGACATCCCTATTGACGTCGACAGTGACATTACAAAATGGCGCCAGTTTATTAGCAGATTAGACATAAACATTGCAAGAATAATTGATTTTCAATTATTCTTTTCTCAAAAATTACGCGTTTCCGTATATTGAGACTTTGTGTGTGTGCTTATAATAGTGTAATCTTTCTGTAAAAATACGTATCAACACCAAACTCCACTGACGTCAATAGAAAACTAAGCCTGAATACCAGCTAGAGGATTCTTGGAAATATGTATGACTAGCAGTGGCTCAGACTTTATAGGTTATCAAGTGGGGGTGTACAAGATGACAGAGGGAAACAAACCAGGAGATGGATAGCAGGGTTCTCTAAAAAATAAAAAACCTGTGGTTGCCTGCCAAGCAGCAACTATGACGAATATATCTCTACTAATGATGCAATCTATGGGGGAGGCCTTTGTTCAGCAGTGGACTTTTGATAAGCTGTAATGGTAATGGATATTTGATCTGATTTATAATTTTCAAATTTAAGTGCCTGATCATCTTTTTCACATATAACATGCAAATTTATTAAAATTACTGCATTGTTATTAAAGTACCTCATTACACCTTTACAGCCTATAAAAGTCCATTGCTGAACATTGGCCTCCCCCACATATTGCTTCATAGGGGGCATATTACCATAGTTGCCACACTTAGTTTGCAGGTCAGCTATTGCAGTTTTTTATTATTTTGAGTTGTTATCAGGAAACTACTGCTGTCCATCTGTTCCAGTTTCCCTCTGTCGCCGTTGTAAGAACGACACCAATGAGACAATATTGGGTAGTGGATATTCTAACACTACCACTACGCAGTGTACTCATTACACATGAAAATATATTTAAATTGTATTTGTTTTCTTTATTTCAGAGTAAGCATAAAAGAGTCATCTGTGGGGAAATTGGGTTCAGTTTGCAGGAGAGTATATAGGATTTTTTCTCATGCATACTTTCACCATCGTGCAATATTTGATGCCTTTGAAAAAGAAACGCATTTGTGCAAGAGATTTACATTCTTTGTTACAAAATACTCAATTATATCAAAAGAAATTTTAATACTGCCAAAACTTGATGATGAAACACCAATTTCTCAGACAGTTGGTGAATCAGAAGCTTAGATCCGATAAAACATACAAAGTTACTCTTATTGTATAATAGCACATGTATTTACAATCAATGTATTTCTTGACATTATTTGAATACAGTCATAAACTGTAATGGCATTAAAGGGACTACTCATATTTGGTTGTAAAAATTGATAGTTGTAACAACTGGTGATATTTTTGAAGTACTATGCAAAGTAATGTTTTATTAAGAAGTATTATTGAATATGTGGGTACATATAAATTTCACATAAAACATAATATGAAAGAACATCACTTTTAACCGACTTCAAAAAGGAGGAGTTTCTCAATTTGAGTGCATGTTTTTTTTTGTATGTTTGTTACACATTATCTTCGCAGATTGTCAACCGGTTTTAATTATTATTTTTTTATTAAATAGGCTTTACTTCAAGGGTAGTCCCATTAAATTTTGAAGAAAAAATTCCGCCCTAATGGTGGAAAATAGGGAAAAAGTTTCATATTGGACTATTGTTTAAGGAATTTCATATGATGTCTTCGCAGATTGAGAACTAATTTTAATGATTCTTTTTTTATTAAATAGGTTCAAGGGTGGTTCCAAATAAATTTGGAGAAAAAAATTCCACCCTTAATGGTAGCAAATATATAACTTCTGTAGCAATTTGAAGTAGGTTTTACTTTTTCTGTATTCATAAAATCTGTAATTTTAGTCTCTTTGGAACACTTCTGTTGTGCGTACGAGTTTTGTACTTCATGTTAAAATACATAAATATAACTGTGTTTGAAATATTTCATGATTAAAGTAATCATCAGATATAACCCAGTTTTTCATTTATGCAACAGGTGTTACATGCTGCTGCACTAATAATATATTGTACTATATATAAATAAATAATAAATTGTACCTACTATTTTCTGCATTTTACCAACTTTATAAAAGATCATTGGGGAATCATCTATTTCCTCTCAGTGGGCACTTGTCACACTAAGGTTTTTCTAGACATATTTTTTTGTGTATGTCTGTTATTTTTTTATATTTACAGCAAAGCAAATTACACAAACAGTTAATACCTTACATTACCCGCCTTTTTCTACCGACTTCAAAAAGGAGACGGTACTCAATTCGACTGTATGTTTTTTCTTTTTTTTATGTGTGTTACCTCATAACTTTTTTGTGGGTGAACCGATTTCGATGATTCTTTTTTTATTTGAAAGCCGGTGTTTATCATGTGGTCCCACATAAATCTGATCAAGGTCTGACCAATAGTTTTTGAGTATTCTTAATAATTTATATTGAAGTCGGTTGTACAAAACTTCAAATTACCTATTGTAGCCTTATATTGTTTTACCTTATACATTATTTACTCTAGAGCAGGGATGTTGCGGATATTCGAATCCGCATCCGCAAATGCGGAACATCCGCTTTGATTTAGACATCTGCATCCG